AGCTGTGAAGGATGACTCCCACAGAATTTCTCTAATGCTCCTCCGGGATATCTTTATGAGTAGACTTGCCATTTCTCACCAGGCTCCTTGAGCTTTCTTTCAAAATCTCTGTCAAACGCTAATGAGAACAAATTTCCCTATTCTTCTCCTCCTGCTCCCAAAAGGCTCTGGTTTTAACAGCTCACATGGGACTTGGAGTGGGAAGGGGTCGGAAGCAAGGAATTAACTTTCTCTTTCAGCACAGAAAATGTCCCTTTGCTAGGGCTATAATTCACAGACACCACACTCAGAGCTTATGGCACAAGCAGATCTCCAGCTCTTCCCACACACCTATCCCCACCCCCTGCACTTGCTAACCAGAAAGCCTTCTAAATGTTACCTAGTAGCAAGAATTAAGCAGTTATGTTTTGCAGATCCTGTTCCTTAGCTTGCTCTTTCATTTCCTCCTATTCAACATTATCACATTACGCTCCCTCTTCTTATGTGCTTTTCCTCTCCACAAAGCTCTTTAAACAGCTGCAAAGGGGGAGGGACCACTATGCTCATGAAACTCCACTTTGCCGAATGCTCCTGCCAGGTCCTACTGCCTGTCTCTTTCCAGGGATTCAATACCTCCAAGGTTCAGGTTTGCTTTTACATCTCTGCCTTGTGCAACCCTGGCAGCAGAGCCTCTTGCCAGCTGTCTTTAGCAAGGAACGGTAACTACTTCTTGTCACTGCCATGAGGAAGACCTGCACCCTCCTCCTCTTTGTAGTGGTCTCCTTCTGTGCGAGCGGTAAGTGAGCTTTCCTTTCACATACAGTCTGCAAACAGCGGCAGCTTTCGGGGTGAGGGGAGAGGAGGGTGGTATCAGCTCTCTGACATTTGTAACTGTCATCACAGGAGGCTGCAGACTTCAGGATGTATGAAATGGATTATTTTGTTGTTTCTGGCTTGTTTGGTATCACCAAATCCACTGTGATGCATAGGAACAGACAGTAAGTCGGACATAAAATGACAAACAGTAGGAGATGACAGTGGCAATCACTAAAAGAAGCTCCTTTAGATGCTTCCAGGGCCGCCTGTGATGGGAAAAGCAGGGACTGTGACAAGAGCTAAAAATCAAAGATGGACAACAGGGCGCAAACCATAAATGAGAAGGCTCTCCCCCTCCCACAATAACTGACTAAAGTTCTAGGAACTGTGTATTTTGCAAAGTTCTTGCTTCCTAATTGTCTAATTAGTAATATGTAACAGCATTGAAAGGAAATTGTAATATGTAAATATATGCTAAATATATATATATACACACACATCACGAACATTTTCTTTAGCTTAGCAGGATTTTTTGTATATGTTTTAGCCAACATGCACAGCCTGGCAGCAGCATTAAACAGTGCATTTACCAAGGCAGGCTCTTCCCAGGGAGAGCCTCCACTGAAGTGTACAGAGTGGAAGTGGCAGGAAGTGAACTGGGGCAGAATCACAGCTTTCCCGTATTTATTTATTCATCCTACTCTTGCTTCTTTAATTACTGAAAAACAACCCTGGAAAACATCTGCTTTATAACAACCAAAGAGTCAGGGCCTACTTTTGATTTTTAGATTACATGTTTGGAAATCCATTGGTAATTCCTTTTTATTTGCACCAATTGTCATGTGGAAAATAAAACTATATTTAAAATATAGTAAATTCAGTACTACTTTCACCAGAACAAGCCTTCCACACCAGTGTGTCTTGTTCTAGGAGGCTATATAAATCATTTTACTCAAGAGTATTCTGAGACTTAACTTCCCCAAGTAATTTCAGAGAAGATGAGAGAGCTGTCTTATTGCTGCACCCTATTTGCTTTATCCTCATTACTCACAGGAACTTGGTATGGCACCGTTGTCCACATAAGAAATGCTCAGAAATGACAACACATGGCATAATATATTATTTCTAAATGTGACTCAACATATATTAAAACAAATGAAGTCAGGGAAATGGGAGAAAGATGCCTTATGTTAACGCAATTTAGACAGTGCAGTTGCCTGTCTTTGTCAATATTTCTCCTTATTCTGTTCTGCGGAAATCACTCCAACATATCTGCCATCACACTCTGAAAACAAACAGCATAACACAGAATGATGACTTGCATCATTTTGTATTTTCAAAATATATCATGTAAGAGGGATTTTTTGCACAGGTGACTGAATCAGGTCTGTGTTTTCACTTTTTCTAGCGTGAAATAGGAAGGATCCTGAAGCATGCTTTTTTTTAATGGTTATACCCCAACAGAGAAAAACTTACTGCAGAAACACGCACTGCAAGGATGCAATTTGCTCTCCTTGTTACGGAGCAGATGTGAAGCGTGTCCAGTGAAGCACAGACAATTCACCTAGCTCAGGATCCGCCTCTCTGTGTTTTTTCTATTACACTTTCCTTATGCAAAAATACTCCACCCCCATTTGGAACTGCTTCATCAGTCTTGTTAAAATCACTTCTAAAAGCACTTGTCTGCCCTCTGAAACACTTCTGGTGATTACTGCTATCTAGAAAAAACAGTTTTGCCAGGGAAAGTAGCATGTTTCCATTTCTTCCAACTCCTGGGGGAAAAGAAGAGTTTTCATATGCATTGTCGCTACCATTCTGAAACACATATAAGGACAAATTTGAATGCCTGGTAATTTTGTTTTCATTAGGTGCCATCTGGTTAATATGTGCACTGGAAATGGGAAGTGGATTCTGAGAATGATGCCCTGGGTTTGCCACGTTATCCGTGGGCAGCTGGGGCCAGCACCGGCCTGGCGCGGGGCTGCTGCCATCTCGTGGTGCTGGAAACTGCGCCCGAGTGAGGCCAGAGCAGCCTCGGGTCCTCACTTCAGAGATTAAAAGTTATTTAAAGTTTGGGACGGCATTTCTTAAAGGGACGCATTATTTGAAAAATCATTTAAGAATTAAGAATTCACAAGAACTCACATATTCAACAAGAATTCACTCCGCTAGCGGCATTCTAACATCACCATGTGAATCAAATCAAATGACAATTTATTTCTATCTGGCTTTGAATTATTGCAGGCTGCTTCTGTCCCCTACACACACAACAGAGGGAACGTCTGTTCAAATGAAATCAATAAAACACCTTAAACAGAGATCCCATCCTTAGCAGTCATGGAGCTTTTTGTCCCTCCTTACAAACACCCAACAATTCAATCCTTGTGTGCAGTCACATTTTATTCACAGAACCAAATTCATCTTAGTTGCAATAGCCAAGACAAAATAAAGCTCAGAGCTTAGCAAGGATCAGCGCAGCTCCAGCTTGATAAGCATTTGATTAGGTAGGCTTTGGCTGAGAACGAAATGTCCTATTAAACCATCACATGGTCCTGAGGCTTCTACAACTCCCAGGAGGTGCCAGACAAGTGTGAATCAAACCCAACCCAAACAAAGCAGGCAGATTCGTCCAAATTCGTTTTTCCAGGGGGCTTGGGACAGACTTGAGAAGTCGGTTCTGGGCTACAGCGATACAGTTACGCGTGACAGACTTGGGCCACCCATGCTGTGCTGCACACCGGTCTTCAAAGGAATAAAGCAAGTCTGGTGCTTATCTCAACCTGTCTCCAGAGCTTGAGTAAAATCTGTTCCTCGATGTGAAAAATCTCTTAGATCATTTTTCTTTTATGCCTCCCTTACTGCCTCAGAAACAAGAAGTTCTTATATTTTTTCTTAAGATGAGTGGAATTCAGAAGTACTAAGCCTCAGGAGAGGCTTGTTCCCCCTGGCAACTTCCTGCCCAGTTGGGTGAGAAGTGGCCACCTCCCAGAAACACACACAGGCTTTGGATGCCTACATGATCCCGGCCTGTTGCTGTCTGCCTTCCTGGGCAGCTCACGCTGCAACATAAGAAACACATCAAATTCATGTACCACAAAATTAAAATACTGGTGGGGCCAATGGGCAACTGCAGTTCTGCTGGCAGGAAGAAAACAGGACTTTAGCTAAATGTTATTGAGCACTTGTGGACAGATTCTGTTTCTATCCTTAAATTTATTAAGGCCGTCACCTGAGAAGAACTTACTGCTTTACATTGTGTAACACAGTCAATACTATCTGCAAATTCCAGGCGAATGGCTTTAAAAAGCATGAGCAGATGCAGCCATCTCTGGAGCTGTGCCACGAGCCATTCTGCTCCGAGGAGAGTGCTCAGGGTTGTCTGACCATCCGAGACCTGTGGATACTCCACCCTGCAGCCTCTGAAATCCAACTTTGGCCGTCTAAGACTCATAATATCTGCGCAAGTCCATAATTCAAGCTTTGCTTCCCATATCAGAAGGCCGCCTTTTACATGACTGCCCCAGGTTTTCAAATAGCATGATTCTGAAACAGAAATACCACTGGCTATCAAAGAGCTCCCAATCATTATAAAAGTCTGCAGCTCGTACCCTGGCTTTTCTCTACACAGATCAGAGCCTCCCTTTGTCTCCTACGGCAATAAAGAGAGAAGTCACAGCCAGACTCTCTGACTTCGGATTTTTGAAATTTTCTCCTTTTGTTATTAAAAGGGTGGTTTTCTTCCAGTTTCTATTTCTGAACATACTGCCAAAAGTATCTATCAACTTGAGTTTTACATTTTACTGTGAAAAAAGAAAACAAATGGCTCTGATTTATCTGCCTGATTTATACTCTATGAGAGACAGTCAGCTTCAGTAGAAGAGGTATCAGTGCTAGGGACTTACCTTTCTGCTCACACAAACCTACAGACTTTAGAAAACCCAAAGCCCTAATTATTTCAAGATGCCCCAATGCTCAGGAATACTGTGTTCCCCATGTCGTGTCACTTGGTCCCCCTTCTGCAGTCCTGTTATGTGATGTTTTACAGGAAGCACCGCAGCAGATGCTGAAGAAAAGCTAATGAACCACCTACTGAGTCCTGACAGGTACAATAAGTTAATTCGTCCAGCTGTCAACTCGTCCCAGTTGGTATCTATAGAACTGCAGGTTTCCCTGGCACAGCTCATCAGTGTGGTAAGCTCAAATAAGGCTGTTCCTTTTAATTCGTTACTACCTGCACAGAAGTCTAACTGAAAGTCACACTGATATTACTATGCCCCTATTATTTTCTACCTTACATAAAAACATTTAGTAGGCAGGGCCCATACATGTGGGTTTTTTTGGTTTTATAACAGGGAGATGTATTTATGTCTAAGCAATAAAAGAGTGTGGTAGATCTTCACTCAATAAAATTGCACTGATTAAAAAACCCTCCTTCTACATCACTCATGCTGCAAACAGAAGAAAAGCTAGTTGTGGCTGGAACAGCTCAACATGGTTATTACATCAATCCCCATGCAAGCTGCGCCTCATACTCAATAACATTGACTTCAGTGGGTCCAAAAGACCTTTTCACTCATGAATTCAGCATGTGTTATATAGGTCCTCCAAGGCAAAAATATGCACCTTGATGCCAAGGGAGATTTTAGCATTAACTGCACTGTGAACAGGATGCACGACACAAGCAGGAAAAACATCCTGAGTCTGGGCTTGTGACTCTGCTGCTCACTCCCTGGATTTTCCTACGGGCCAGTGAGCAAAGTTTAAGAGCTGTATATAATTTTTATTCTGAAACTCAACAGGAAAAATGAAAGCCACTGATGGAAGCTAAGGGCAGCTGTACAAGCTGATGTGCTTTTGCACACACATGTAGGCTGAGATAGAAAGCAGGGACTATGCTGTACATGGGACAATTCTAGGCCAAGTGCTCCCTGTCTCCTGGAGGAGGGAACCTGCAAAGAGGCTCCTGGCCCCATGCAATGCAGGCACCAACACGTGTCCTCCCTGGCTGCCAGGGCTGGGCAGAGGTTGGGCACCTTGGCCCTGCAGGCCCCAAGGATCAGCAGCCTCATCAGAGCAGCCACATGTGCAAGGGCCCAGTCCCTATCCTGCTACATTCACACCTTCTAGAGAAAAAAACCCAGCATCTTACAGACACTATCAAGCATCTCCAGCATCACAGAATTAACTTTTTTCCCCCTGTAGAAATCCTCCTGACTCTCTGATCTATTTCAGCCCTTAGTGAAACCCCAGCCTTATAAAGCCAACAGAGAAATATTTGTCTTGAAACACATTAAACAGAACTATTTTGTGCAGCCGGAAATATCCTTGAGAGCCAACTGAAAACATATACTACCACAATAAAAGCAAACATTTTAGAGGACAACTTTTCTTTCTCTCCTGCAGAATGAGCGGGAGCAGATCATGACTACGAACGTGTGGCTGAACCAGGTGAGCAAGCCCAGGAGGCTCCTGCCACGCGCAATCACCACCGCTCTCCCCGCGCTGCAGCGTGGGCGCTGGTCAGGATATCCCCATCACCACGGTCCCATTTCTCTCCTAGGAGTGGATTGATTACCGCTTGGCCTGGAAGCCCTCTGACTACGAAGGGATAAATAAGCTGAGGATACCTGCAAAACACATTTGGCTGCCAGACATTGTACTTTACAATAAGTAAGTAAAACTTCTGTAGTTCAAACAGACAGCGAGCAAAAACTAACCATGCAACAGGAAATAAGCAGTCCCGCAACAGAACCAGTCAGGTGGGTCTGGTATCTTCCAGAACTGAACTTTGAAAGTTTTGCCACTATATCTGAGTGAGAGGAACTGGATGCAAAGACAATTTGACAAAAACCAGGGCTCTACTTAGAGAGAGTCAAGTCTCTAGTTAGAGAGCCTGTTACTAAGCTCACAGGTACCAGAGCTCCATGAGCTAATGCTCATTTTCAAACCAGATTACAGTCTGTTTTCATAAAGCATTGAAAATCCATTACACAAATGCAAAATAAATCTGCCAGCATAAAACCTTGGTGCTTCAGAGTACAGAGAGACAGAAAGGCTGGGAGCTCAGTGCTTCTTTCAGACAAACAGCTTGGGGCCAAGAGTTTGTAGCTTGTTATCCACTCTTTGGCAAAATCTTAAAGGGGATGACACCAAGTTTTGGGAAAAACGTAGAATAATTAAAAAAAATCAAATATTAAAATATACTACTCATGAGATTTTAAAAAACAGTGAATTCTTGAAAACATGATGATTTGGGAGCACGTACAGATGGGAAACATAGGAAGTTTATATATAGCTGAGTTAAGTCTTTGGAATCCTTCCACTAGAAATCAGATTTAGGAAATACTTAAATACTAAAAACTATTGTATTAGTCACAAAATAATTCAGCCAGTGGATTAGGATGTACTTTGCCTTGGCAAATCCTGTTCTGCTAAATTGTGCCCCTCCCTGGCTTCCTTCTTGCTTACTGCCCAAACGGTCTCACTTAGTGGGTTACAAGAAGGGGAAGGAACAGTTTAAAAAGGCTTCTTGAAAACAGAGAAGCTTTAAGCCTCACTATAATCGATTTTTACATTAGTACAAAGCAGAAGATCATTTTGTGGAAACACCCACCCTGTGCCTTTCTCCTGTTGACACTTTCCCAGGCAGAGCTCAAGGCCACACTAAGGGCAACACCAGCTTCAGCCCTAGGCACAACTGTGAACAGCACACGTGGAAGGCACCGAGATGGCCAAGCAACCTGGTCCCATGGCACAGCCTGCTTAAAAATACATAAGAACACCCAACCTTACACTGAAAAAGCTCTGCTTTTCAAGATGCCTTCTCAGCAAATATGCACTTCATTAAGCTCGTTATTAACTGCTAAGGAGCAAATTTTCCAACGGCCTACAGGGGTGCTACTTAATCAGAGTCTGCTGAACTTTATTTGCTTACACTTACAGTGTGTTGGCTCTGGTATTTCTGCAGATAACAAACTGGGTTTTTCTGGGCATTTCTTTATGTATGTATCTGTTCATCAGAAAGAAACCCAGTGGGATGTAAGAGGTCCAGACTCACTTCTGCAGTATAACATAGTGGCTAAGTGACTTACTATTAAAACGATGTTTGTCCAGAAACCCTGGACAAGAATTGACTACAGATCAGTGATGATCTCCCTGAATTCAATGACCCAGCCTAGCCTAGGAGACTCTCCTGGTGGAAGTTCACCATTCGGAGCAGACACAAACCCAAGACTGTGGGCAGTAAGAACCCTGTGGCTTGCCTGTTCTGTAACGAGCAACCATTAACCACAGTAATGCAACAAATTATAATTCATGTAATTACATTTCCTCTGCCTACAGTCTCCCTCCATTTCTAACACTGCTCACCCTTATTTCCTCCTGCAAGCCGTTTAGGAGTGTTAACATGTGCTGTTAGCACTGGTTGTGTTCCAGACCAATGGTACCTGCAACTCAGTGCTACAGGATCTCATTTCTCTTAGCCTCCGGACAGAGTTAGTTATTTTAAGCATTTATATAATACGTTGAGTTCTTTGCATCAAACCTACATGTATGCTTATTAATTAAATCATTCTATAAATTATTATATTTTTATAAATAAATATTTTATATATTATATTTATAAATATATTTATATTTGATATAATAATTTATATTTCATAAATGTATATTGGACAAAATGTTAACTCTCTGACTAGGAGAAATGCATATACCACTCTCCCTATTAGATTAAACCTGCCAAAATGGTAGATCTCAAAACTGAAATCTTAGTAAAATTTAATTATAGCAACAGCTGAGGCCTAGAGGACCAGATCTCAGATCCCTTCTGCACTGAACCATTCTTTGCCCCTTTACATTTGCTGATCTTTTCTCCTTTTTCTCATTTCTCTAGCGCGGACGGCACATACGAAGTTTCCCTCTACACAAATGCGATCGTACAGAACAACGGGAGCATTCGCTGGTTGCCCCCTGCCATCTACAAGAGCGCCTGCAAGATCGAGGTTAAGCATTTTCCATTTGATCAGCAAAACTGCACGCTGAAGTTCCGCTCTTGGACATACGATCACACAGAAATTGATATGGTGCTTAAAACTTCCATGGCAAGCATGGATGATTTCACACCGAGCGGAGAGTGGGACATTGTAGCACTCCCAGGAAGGAGGACTGTGAACCCCCTGGACCCCAATTATGTCGATGTGACATACGACTTCATTATTAAAAGGAAACCTCTTTTTTATACCATCAATCTTATCATTCCCTGCGTGCTAATTACATCCTTAGCCATCCTGGTGTTCTACTTGCCTTCAGACTGTGGTGAAAAGATGACCTTATGCATATCTGTGCTGCTTGCCTTGACCGTGTTCTTGCTGCTGATCTCCAAAATCGTCCCTCCAACATCTCTAGATGTTCCCCTGATTGGGAAGTACCTCATGTTCACAATGGTACTAGTGACATTTTCGATAGTTACCAGTGTCTGCGTCCTCAACGTCCACCACAGATCCCCAAGCACTCACACTATGCCGCCCTGGGTAAAGCTCGTGTTCCTCGAGAGACTCCCAGCCTACCTGTTCATGAAGCGCCCGGAAATCGCTTCCCCGCAGCAGAGGCTGGGCCACCGCAGGAAGGCGAGATCGGAGAATCTCTGCGTGGACCCGGCAGAGCTGTACAAGAACTCCACCTACTTCATGAATACAGCCTCCACCAAAAAATACGATATGAAAATCACAGAGACTCTTGACAATGTCAGTAGCCATCAAGATTTTAGGTTAAGATCAACCACAAAATTTTCTCCTGAAGTCCAAGAAGCAATTAATGGAGTCAGTTTTATAGCAGAACACATGAGAAGTGATGACAACGACCAAAGTGTAAGTAAAAGGAGAAATCATCCTAGTCTTCCCAAAAGCCATCCCCTGTCTTTCCCTGTGCTCTTCTTAATAAAGGAGATCTGAGCTTCCCAGCCATCTCAACGCTTTTAGAGAGATTTCAGGCATAATTTGTAAGAGGACATAGGTTTTGTCATTAAAAGAACTTAGTGAATAAGAGTTCGGTAATACCAATACTGTCCTGAAAAGCAAGAAAGAGAGACTGTCAGTTGCCCAGTAAGCAGAGAAACCCCCTTGAAAAAGCCATGTTGCTACACTTAAGTAGTGCTTGGGAAGGAAAGAAATTAATATTCAGTTTCAACTCAGGCAATATGTTATTAAGAATATTTTTTCTCCCACTGTCTTCAATGAGACTGTAACACACCCTGTGCCCAGGCCATGTTACCAATAAATGATCTCCATGCAGCTCAAGCATTCATTTACCTAATTAGGCATAGAAGGAAGATTTAGTAAAATGGGTAAGAAGTCCTCTGCAAACACTCTTTCTGGGCTAAGATCCTTGCTTTTAATTGAGGAACAGATGCTGCTTATCACAATTTCCCACAGCAAACAGTGGATAGCATCAAACTCCTAATGCGAGTAGAGCTGAGACTTCTTCCATGGGAGCTACAGCAGACACTATTGGACACGAAAAGTCCTGGAATCATTTGAGCAGTGCTGTTGCTGTTCTGTTCGCATGCGCTACTAGCTGCACACTAACACTGATATAAACACCCAGTGGGCAGTGCTTGGAAAAAGTCAGAAAATTCAGAGTTTTCTTTAGGCAAACATCGGTGTTCCTGAAAGAACATCCTCACATGTACACGCATCCTCTCTGTGACCCTGCTCAGGCCCAGATCCCAGCCAGATCTGAGGGTCTCTACTCCTGCCGTGCTCTCCCTCCTCAGCCAAGCAGACCAAGCAACTCAAAGTCCACCTTCAGATCTGGCAGGAGTCCCTTGAGGAACCTGCTACCGAGTCATTCATATTTTCCATTAACTGAAATTATTGCCAATATAAAGAAGATCAGCTATTAACATTAGATATGAGCCGGTACATATCAAAACTGACCAGAAGCAAATTCATAGCAGAAAAAAGAAGTTTTTCAATAGCACTTGAAACTGTTGCAAGAATGTGTTGCATACTAAAGAATCTGTGAAGAATCCATTTGAGATTAAGAGCAATTTTCAAGGGAATTTTATACATTAAGCATAAAATGAATGCTTTTTACACAAGGCCCTCTGATGCTACATATTACTGTTTTCTAGACACATAATTTTAATCCCTGCTTTTCCTTCATTATCACGGTCTGATAACACTGTTCAAGTACCTCCACTATAGTCTCATTACAGGAGGCCCCTGTAATTCCCATTAGCAGCAGTGAGAATTACAAGTGTGCAGTGAATAAAAGATATGCAATGGTCTGATAGGAGATAAATGAGAAGCACTGTAAAGTCTCTGAGGTGAATATGTCCCATGTGTAACCAGAACCAGTCAGAGATGAAAATATAACCATTCCTGAGAGGCAAATGAGCAGATTAGAATATTTCCCTTTTATAGTAATAGGCTTATAGTCACTTTAACTTGCAAATGAAATCTAAGGCTGGCCCTACAACTTCTGCAGACAACATATGCAAGAGAAAAAGGAATATTAGTAAAAGCAAGAGTATTAATATGCACTAAAACTCTTGATTAAGAACGCAGATAAGCAAAGAACCCTGAAGCCAACTTTGTTTAACAGCACTAAATATTGTCCATGGAAATTAATAGCATACGCAAACTAAAATTCAGGTAAGAATTCACTTATTTCTATTATACTGCACATCTTGCTAGACCAGAACAAGACCATGCTCAGTACCTGAGATATCAAAGAAATGCTTACATTATTTATCTTCACTGCGCAAAACAAATGTGGAAAAAAATCCTCCCTGAGCTCTCCAGTCAGTTTGTTCCCTGGTCCTTGAGATTTGCTTCCTTTTAATTGCATATAGAAAGACTCAGTGTCAGCAGGACTAAGGGGGATGAATAAAACAAATTGCTAATATCTTTAATTGGCTTTTTCTTCCAGGTCATTGAAGATTGGAAGTATGTTGCCATGGTAGTGGACAGGCTGTTTCTCTGGATATTCGTCTTTGTTTGCGTCCTGGGGACAGTTGGATTGTTCCTGCAGCCACTTTTTCAAAACCACGCGGCTACCATGAACCCTTAGTTGGCATTTAAAAATCGGCAATGCTTACGTAGATGCTGGGCCTCATTCTGCTCTCAGTTCCTCCCCGGTAAACCGGGAGAGGTGTCAACAGAATTGCTCTTGCATCACATTTACAGTAGGGGAATGGAAAACGGAATTTGACCTGCTAGATCATTGTGATAGAAAAAATCCAGAAAACAGAGTTTTTTTTTCCAGTGACTTCATTATTTCTGGTGATATGTTGGCCCTTTTTTCAATCATTTGAAGCCCAAACATTGCAGAGGAAAGCTTTTACTGTACAATGTACCAGCTTGGCTCAGGATTATTATTAGGATTATTAAAATGATATTTTATATACATTGCCTCAGGAAGGACATTTTCTTTCCTCAGAATGCTGTAGTTTCCATACTGCAGATCTCATATTACAAGAAGCTATTGCCAAGACAATTATTTCCTTCAAATGCCTCCAAACTACTTATATCTGTTTTTTAAAGTGTTACAGGTGGAATCATTACTATTTAAGTGCTTTGAATGTGATATTTAAGATGGAACCAAAAATCAGAGCCACACTTTTGAAGTGCCACTATCGGATTTCTCATGTTGCCAACTCTGCTAGCAGATCGATCAACAGAGACCAAATTAAGATGTGATTAACAAAAATTTATATAAGCTGTTCAGTGATGAAATATAAATAAAACGTGAAAATCTCCTATATACAGATTTAGTCCTGAAATGTTCCTGCAACTTTTACTGTTCTTCTAAGTGGGGTTCGCATACACTTTCACAAATTTAAAACTAGCTGTATAGGAAAGCATCCAGCAGAGAAGTCACGTGTAAAAAGCAATAGCTGAAAAAATGGGAATAAGACACCTGCGAACCAACAGACCTTCATGTTTTGCATTTGAATTTGCATTTGAGCTGTTAATTGCATGAAACATCTCTAGCAAAGGCCTGGTCAGAGCCCAAGACTTCTGCTGGGGAACAAACCCATCAGCCTTGGCCCATGTAGCTTTTTGCTTGCAAAAGGAAAATTGGGCTAAATTCAGGCTAAAACAACATCAGCTCTTCATTGGGGTGCTGTCAGGACACAGCAATTCTACCACCATTAAGAGGCAATTTGCCTGCGGATGGGGGAACCTCAGCACCCACCGTCCCCTGGGAGGATTAGCAGACATCCAAGCTGAGGGTCTCCAATGAGCCAAGGCTGAGGTTGCCCCTGGCTTCGCCTGCCCGGCACCTCTAGCTGGGTCACCGTTCCAGGCAGCTGCAGATACCACATAGGTTTAGACCTGCCAAAGCAGCTGCCCTGAAAGCTTTTCAGCTACCCCAGCTCCCTACTTCCAGGGCCAGCCTCCTGTGACAGCTACTGCCCTCCCCTAAACCACTTTCTCCCTGCTCCTCCCCACGGCCTCAATGCAACTGGATGGAGATTTCCTATATTCCTGTCTCGTGGTGGGTCTTATCTTTACGAGCAGCACTGCCTGATAACACTCACTCCGTCCCTGCTGCCTTCGGCTGGATTATCCTCGGCACGATGAGGGTTTCAGATAGAACCTGGCAGCTCAGCCAGCCATGGAGCGCAGGCAAATGGAGGCCTCAGCCTGCACCAGCACAGGCAGGGCTTTTAAAGGCTCTTCCCTGGCCTCAGGGAGATCCCTGCAGAACTAGGGATGCTCAGCCAGGATAAGGGGCTCTAGCGTTTTCAAGACATCTTACTCATTTTTTTAATCATGAGCGAAGCAATATGCTTTTCCCTAGTTATGCTCTCAGAAATCATCAACACATTTTTTAAAAACTTTCAGAAATAATTCAGCCTGGGGCAAACTGGCACAGAAAAGCTCACCCAGATTGTTAAGGTTTGGCAAAATTCGGAACCCCTAAAAAGTGGTTTCAAAATGGGAATTGCTACTTTTGCCTAATGCTCACCACCTTCACCAGCTCTAGCTGCAGAATCCATAAAATTGTTCTCAGTTTAGCTTCTCAAAGAATAGCAGGATTTTGCTTTGAGTTCGTGGCAATATTTCAAAAACAGGAGTTTTCTAACAGAACAGAAACAGACCAAAAATGCCATCTTGCACAGTGACTCTTGTGAGTATTGTAGGGTTCCAGAAAAAGCAAACAAAATAATCTTCGACACTTCCACTTTTCAAAGTTTTGATAGCAATGCTCTGCATTAAAAAAAGTTATTCAAAATGTATTTTCTAACAAACCTGTTTCAACGAAAGGGTGCAGCCAGCCTGCACTTCTAGGGGGGGATGTCTCTGGGGGCTCCAGGCCCCTTTCCCACCTGCACAAAACTCCTTCAGCCAGGAGCAGTCCTGCTTTCACTCAACCACACAGCACAACCAGCACCACCACATACACATGGCACCTGGTAATATCGTTTGTGACTCTTTTGCCCTCCTGCAGCTAGAAGAGCCAGCAGGGCTGGCTTTTTATAGGGGGAATATCAATATCCTATAGGAAGGTGGGAAAATATTCCCTTCCTCATGCCCTGAGCTGGTTCTAAGATCTGATCTGCAGAAATAACCTTAGAGTGGCACAGCTATTAAAAGGAAAGACTAGGCAGTTTGATACTGCAGATATCCATGGGTGGATGAGCTTCCCCATGCTCATACACATTTTTCCCCTGTGTAGTTCTGCAGTGCAGTCATGCTGACATGTTCCTATCATATCGCCCTCCCAAGCCACAAAAACAAACCTACCACAAACCTGTGAACAATATCAGAAAGAATCACTTGTATATGCAAAGTATATACAAAAATTTCAGCAACCAGGCAAATTAAGCTGAAATACCTGAAAGATACAACAGCTCTTCACTACCTCTGAAAATCAACCACTTCCCACCTCTTCAGCTTCAAGCTCTGAATTTTGAGGAACCTGATTCCAATCTGATCTTTAAAGCAGCTGTAGCTTATTTCTGCCTATGATTAAAAACAAACATCTTAATGATAAGGCAGCTTATTTAGGGAAACCAAGAAGGCAGAAGGGGAAAAAAAAAAATCCCTACTCTCTATGCCTTAGAAAGGCAGGAAAATTTGTCCCTAAAAGGGTTAAGCTACAAAACCAAATGACTGAGTTCTCTGGAAAAAAATAAATAAAATCAAATGGACAGTAAAGCCTATTTCCTCTGAGGTAATACAATTACAGAAATTATCAAAAGAACATGTGTCTGGGGATGGGCTGAGTGATGCTCTGAGAGATGGAGTAAACAGGATGAACAAGCTCTGTGCCAAGATCACGGAGCCCTCCTGCTGCTCCTTGTCGCAGTGTTCCCGCTAGCCACGGCGCTGGGCTGCCCTCTCACCACCTCCCAAACAGGGTGCAATCCCCTGTCCGTCCCTCTCCCCGCACGGCCGGCCAGCCCAGATGTGTGCAGCAGGTGACACACACATCCTTGAGGAAGCTGCTGCGCACGGCACGAGCCAGCCGCTTTGTAAACCGTGATTATACGAGTGCAATGGAAGCTAATGAAACACCTGTGGAAGGCTGGCATGGGATGAGCCCACGCAGTAAGTGAGAGAAGGGCAACCTCTTACCACCCAATTTCAGTTACTTGTTTCTACACAAGGTACAATTCTGGAAAAATATGAGAAGAAAACATGTCATTTTCCCACTTCCTTCACTGCTGCTACATCCTCTCTCGAGATTTTTGATTATAAAAATTATTTGACAAACAAAACAAAACCCAAGCCTATTTTTTTTATCTTCAGAATTAAAATCCACAGCAGTGGAAAAAGATGAAATCTGTTCAATCCGCAATGAGAATTTAAAGATTTACTGGAGCTCTTCCAGACTAGATCACTGTGTGAGAAGAGTCCTCACCAGAGCTTCAAATGTAACACAAAGACTCCCCCAACTCCTTTCCCACAAACACCGGGGTTTTAAGGGATTAGACTGGCATTCAGCACTCTTTCACTGCTTCCCAAACTTGCTCATGCCAGCCCTGAAAGCAGGAAAGGTCCAAAAACAGTTATTCCCAAGAATATTATTCTCTAGTTATTCTCTAGGCCAAACTCCTGGCTCTGGTTGGATCCTGCCGGCTGCGTAAACATCTCTGGGCTCAGATCCTGGAAGCATTTTTGAGTGTGTTTGGGGTTACTCTGGGGAGTAATAACAGCTTTTATATACAGTAAAGAACCAGGCTGCAGACGAGCACCTGGCACACATGCTTGCAAGGATGAGATGCTGTTAGAAAACAAACAAACAAAAAAAACCCTGCAACATTAACTGTGCGTAATTGAACATTCAGGTCTCCTGGTCTCATTCACTGCTACATCAGGTGTCCCTAATGTCAATATCCATTTCAGCACAATTCAATTATAAGATTTTCATGAACTAAACCTGACCTAGTAGCTTGGCGTAAACTTCTCATCAGAAGGATCCTGTAAAGATCAGCTGCTGACTAGAAAAATCTTTAGCATTGTCAGACTGGTGGGTTCATTTACGCACCAGCTGATGGACTGCGCTCCTCTTGCTACATGACTGCCCCTCACTGTAGGGTAATAACCTCTCCTTTGCCTACCATTTATTTCCTGTTCCCAGCACCGTGTTTATGACAACCTGGACACTGGAAAGGGGGCAGCAGAGCAAAGCTAACGGGAGCTCGCTGTGCAGAGCTGTGCTCGGGTCCTCCTGACTGCAGCTTCCAAGCACTTCTTCCTTGGGAGGCGCGGAGCGCTCATGCTTCCCTGCTCCTCAGCCCTGCAGCTCAGCTTGCTGCCAGCAGCCGCTTCCACCGCCCGGCAGCAGCTCGCAACAGCATGGAGAGCTCACGCGCTCTCCTCCTAACTGCCACCCTTTGCCTTCTCCTGCAAGGTGAGTGAGCCTTAATTTGCTTTTTCTTTGTTGATGAGGAGGGAAGTAGAGAGGTGAACAGAGACTGTGCAATTTACTTTCAGTGTTGAAGCTTACTCCAGGCTAACGATCCCTAGGACAGCTTTTCCTGTTAGGCTTTTTTTCATTCCTCCTTGTGAAGGAGTAACAAGTTAAGTAGCCCTGATGGAGATGCCAAACAGAACCACAAAGCCATTTTAACAGAAAGCTCCCTGCATGTAAAGGTTTAGCCTTACATGCTGTAGAGTACAGAAAGACCAAAAGGAAGAGACGGTACTAAATAGCTCTAACTGTGTGCTGCTCACTCTGTGAACACTGCACCTTGTCTCTGCATGTACAGGAAAAACTGAAGCATTTAAATATAAGACCCACTAACACACGTATTGTCTAGATACAGTCGATGCCAGATTTAATTACTGTGCTGTGGACATGTAAAAAGGCTGACAGTTTTGAAGGGGCTATAATAAAGGGCTTTCTTAAAATTATTTACCTGAAAGATTAAGGAACATTTATTCCAGAAATCTTGATCTGATACACCTAATATATGAAATGTCAATAAAAACTTAAGAGGGCAAGAGTAGCTGTTAAAAAGCTATTTCCTCAAAAGCGTGAAAGAAGGGTGTGCATTTTTAAAATAGACAAGTTAGTTTGAGTGACTTCACTAACCTGAAGATAAAATTGTTATCCGAGCGTTTTTTAGCTAAATAGTTTGACATGGGAGGACCCTCTTGTCTGAGGAACATCGGAAAGTAACATCTGCTTTGGGAAACAGCAGATCAGCCACATGCACTTTGCTTCTTTTCTCTTTTCCTATCAAAAAACAACAAAATTGAGGAAAAATAAATGTGTGTCCTTGCAATTATCTGCAGTTGTATATCTGTGTTTCAAAGGAATCATAGGGTTTGCTCAACAGACTTCAGTTCCATGCATTTGCCATATTCACATACAGTGCTATCCATAAAGGCAAAACCGGGTATTTTTTCCAGTTAAAATGCTGGAGGATATTTTATCCAGGAGAGATTTCAAGACAAAGTGCCCTAGAAGGACAAGACCATGGGCTTGGGTAGTAAAAAAGTAAAAACTCACCCCCCGCCCCCGTGCTTTAAAACAATTTCAGTTTGCAGCTTTTTCAACAGCTATGAGGCACCACAGGCAGCAGCAGCACCAGCACCAAAAAGGACAGTAGGGAGATACTGTGGGTAGAAATTATTTAGAAGAATAAACGGGCTCTTAGCAGGCCTTCTCTTCGGATACATTTTTGAATGCAACAGCTCAACAATTTTAAGCGCTGTTACCACAGTTTGGCAGACGGGCTGTTACCATCACTCCAGTGAGGCCCCCTCAACGCAGGCTGCAGAACCGAGGCGCCATTTTGTGGTGAACCCGCTGTGCCCAGCGGCCATTCCCCTTCCCTGGGGAATGAAGCCCTGCTCACATCATCTCCTCTCGCTGTCAGGCTGCAGGGGCTCGGAGGCCGAGCACCGGCTCTACCAGGCCCTGTTCGAGAACTACAACCAGTTTGTGCGGCCGGTGAGGAATGTCTCAGAGCCCGTCATCATCCAGTTTGAGGTGTCCATGTCGCAGCTGGTGAAAGTGGTAGGTCCCGGGCACGGGGAGGGGCGGCTGCAGTGACCCCCCTGGCCAGCCCAACGCCTCCCTCTTTTGCAGGACGAAGTGAACCAGATCATGGAAACCAACCTGTGGCTGAAGCACGTGAGTAGCCCTGGCCCTGTCCTCACAGGGACCCTCGAGCGAGCAGCAACACTAGCTCTGGCCGCTGCAGCCGTTGGGGGCCTTCCCGCCCTCTGCTGAGGCGAGTGGGTGCTGCCCCGGGCTAATGGCAATGGCGGAAGAGGGGGCTGCTTTTCCCGCCTGACAGGTACTGCTGCATTCAAACACCAAAGCCAGCTGGTGAAAGAACAGAAAGGAGTCAAAAAACAAAAAAAAAAAAAAAAAGCCAACAACTTTTTTAATGCTCTTACCCAATTGCATTCCTATTTCTGCTGCCCCCATGTTGCATCTCCTTTCCTCTTTCACCTTTGGTTTCCTGCATAAAAACTCCCCAGGCGGGCACTCGCACGCGCAGCCAGGCCCTGCCCAGACTGGGGGGACCCCTCTCCCTGGTGTCCATAACCCACACACTTTTGCTAAGGAATCACGCGGGCAGCGCAGTGCCCCAACTCAGACCACCCCGTGCAGCGGCTTGGCGCGAGCCTTGCGCCCGTCCCCGCAGCCTCGCGCTTCTCACACACTTAGATCTGGAATGACTACAAGCTTCGGTGGAACCCGGGCGACTATGGAGGTGCTGAATTCATCCGCGTGCCCTCAGGCCAGATCTGGAAGCCAGACATCGTTCTGTATAACAAGTAAGGCTCTGGGTGCTTATTACTGCAGGAAGAAGGAAGGTGATATTGGTGTTTTTCAAGCTCCCTGGGAGGCAGCAGGAAGCTCCTTTATGCCAAAGCGTTTGTCTGCAATTCAGAACTGCTAATTCTAAGGTTTTTTTAAAGCAATTAAACTCACAATTTGACACCTATGCAACAGCAGCACTGGCTTACGAAAGCTCAGATATGATGTACTTTGGGCGTTTGTTTCCAAGGCTGTGAAATGCCAAAGCATTACTAACTGGATCCCTCTGTTACATATGGAAACCACTCAAATTATTCTAAAGGAAAATATTTCTTTGCATCATCTATGGTAAATTCATGCAAGTGTTCAATTAAGCTTATCTATGCAAATTTATGACAGCTACTGACTCAATCCTGTACATGCAATTCAGCTGCATGCTAACATGTAATTGCTTACTTTCAAAAACAGATTAAGGAGTTTATAAATATGATCTCATTATATGAAGCTAAAAGGAACAATTGCCTTTTGATTTTTTTTCCCTTTCTTCTGCTTTACAGTGCTGTTGGCGACTTCCAGGTTGATGACAAGACAAAGGCTCTATTGAAATACACAGGTGACGTGACCTGGATACCTCCGGCTATATTTAAAAGCTCATGTAAAATAGATGTAACCTACTTCCCTTTTGACTATCAGAACTGCACCATGAAGTTTGGTTCCTGGTCTTATGATAAAGCCAAAATCGACTTAGTTTTAATTGGCTCTACGATGAACCTCAAAGATTACTGGGAGAGCGGAGAATGGGCTATCATTAAAGCTCCTGGGTATAAACATGACATCAAATACAACTGTTGTGAGGAGATATATCCAGACATCACATACTCACTCTACATTAGGCGTTTACCTTTATTTTACACGATCAACATGATTATTCCATGTCTGCTGATTTCTTTTCTGACTGTCTTAGTATTCTATTTGCCTTCAGACTGTGGTGAGAAGGTGACACTCTGCATATCAGTCCTTTTATCTTTAACAGTGTTCCTTCTTGTTATCACAGAAACCATACCTTCTACTTCTCTGGTAATTCCCCTTATTGGGGAATACCTCCTTTTCACCATGATATTTGTAACTCTGTCTATTGTCATTACGGTGTTTGTACTTAACGTGCACTACAGAACACCCAAGACGCACACCATGCCCGTGTGGGTGAGAACCATCTTCCTGAACTTACTTCCCAGGATCATGTTTATGACAAGACCTGCCAGCGAGGAAGAGAATAATCAGAAGCCAAAGCCGTTTTACACCACTGAGTTTTCAAACTTGAACTGCTTCAACAGTTCGGAAACCAAATGCAAAGACAGCTTTGTGTGTCAAGACACAGCATGCAGCTGTTGTCAGTATCAGCGGATGAAGTTCTCAGATTTCAGCGGCAATCTCACAAGAAGTTCAAGCTCTGAATCTGTAGATCCTCTGCTTTCATTTTCAGTTCTCTCACCAGAAATGAGAGATGCTATTGAAAGTGTTAAATACATTGCAGAAAATATGAAAATGCAGAATGAAGCAAAAGAGGTAAGAATATATTTTACCATTACTCAGACTGCAGATACCATTTACCATTTCACGTAGAACTGTTTTGTAAGAGCAGATTCCCTTAGAAAAACATGGACAGCATAGACCGTTGTTTTATGTAAGCAAATTACATAAACTGCATTACAAATGAACTAAGCTTAATAAATTTGGGGGAGCAGCTCTGTTGCTTTACCCCTTTCCTTATTGAAAAAGGATACACAGGGAAATGTGTCACAGTAGCACTGCTAGGGAAGCAGAGCTGAGTAGCCTCCTGCAAGATTTGTAGTTAGGATTCCAAATTACAACTCAGTAGTAGAATCTGCCAACCCAATGGCATTTAGAAAGTTACATCCTCCCTCTCACACTTCCCCAGCAGTAAAGAGGACAAGAATTTATGTCTTTCACAGAGCCCATGCCAACTCCCAGTTATTAATATAGACTTTTTTTTTGTTCGCTTTACCTCAGAGAACAAGTTCCAAACTAAAATCTTCAAAGTTTCAAAAACAAGTGAAAAAAACATCAGCATACCTGGGGAAAAGTGAAGTCAAAATTGAACTCACAGAATAACTAAAGTTGTCATCAACCATTGTTTCTACTAACATGCAACATCTATAGTACTTCAGTGTCACTCTTCCTAAAACATCCCCTAAAAAAACAAATAAAAACAAAAAAAAAAAGTTCTTGGATATTTGTTTCATTTACACAGGGAAGATAAAATTAATCTCCTTATGTCATGGACAAGAAGGTTGTTAAATTGCTGTACCATTTCAAACATCAACATACCAAATTATCATATTTCAATTAACTTCTGTATTCTCATGTACTGCTCAAGGAACAGTAGAAGTCTATTTCAATTTCAATACCTCAGAATGTAGTCAGGTTTGTCCAGAATATCTTTTAACTTCCAGAAGAGAGATGTATTGAGGTCCAATCTCTTGGTGAGCAATTTAATTTTACTTCAAGAGCTACTTTTGACTTTTCAAATAGCATATTCAAATAAAGCTCCTTCAAGGTGAATTGATTTGTCTACCAAAACACTAGTATTTAAAACTGTGTGTGTATCTACATTCACTCTTTGAAATAATCTTACAGCAAGTTATTGATCTGGTAAACATGCCTACTTTTATTTGATCTGCTTATTTTTCAGATTCAGGATGACTGGAAATATGTCGCCATGGTAATCGATCGCATTTTTCTGTGGGTTTTCATCCTCGTATGTATTCTAGGAACCGCAGGATTGTTTTTACAACCTTTAATGGTTGGAGATGAAATGTGAAAAGACCAAAAAAAAATCAAAATGTTACATTATAAAACCAAACCAAGCTTTTGCTAGCCTGACCTTTTTTTGCCTGTATCTGATGTTTTTTTTTAATGCATTTCATTAGAAGAATAAGGATCTTTCTTAGTCTCAACTTTGCTTGACCAAGAAGGCTTTATTAAAAATGTTAAAAAGTGTATTTGGAATTATAACAGCCAATCCCGAGGTAATATGCTTTAGGCTTGCCAGCTACATTTCACAACAAAGGGAAGAGATGTAGTAAATACATTAAAGTGTATAGGAATGGTTTAAGAAGGGTTTGATAAAGAAACTGTTACATGACTAGTCTCAAGGCTGAGACAAGTTCAATACTTGGGCTACCAGATTTGTTTCCAGGAGCCTGGCGCTGAATCTTTTCACACTGCAGCACACTCATCTGGGGAGAGGTTCATAATTAGTTTAATGAATGTTCCCACAAGAATGAAGCAATTCAGGAAGCTCAACTGTTAGAATGGAGAACATTGCCACCTGCTGTATAAACAATGATCCAAATCATGGGGAAAAAAAAAAAAAAAAAGCCTGGGCAGGATTATTTGCAAAAGGAAAATGAATACATGAATAATAGATGATGATGGTAAAGCAGCCAGAATATAAACATTTATACATTCTCATATTTTCACTAAATAATCTATTAAAGCTTATAAGCTTATTTAAGCTTCATCAAGCTATTTAGACCAAATAATGTTTTAAACGGTATAGAAATAAAACATAGCAACATACATTCAAGGCGTATGCAAAGGATGAAAATATTGTAGGATTGTTTGAATATGGAAGCATCCTGCTACATGAAAGTGCTTTCCTATATGGGAAGGCAGATGGATACAAAGCATTCCTGTAAAGTAGGCTAAAAAATTGCTTCATAGGCATACCTTTTTTTCTTTAAGTCAGTGACTACAGATCATTTCAGTGCATGAATAAAGAGTGCAACAAAATACTGCAATGAGGAAACGCTTTGTAAATTTATGAACTGTTCTCTCTGTGCCCAACTGGAAACTTTTGGAAATACAGCGATATCAAAATGATGTAACATTTATGACAATAAAGAGAATCAAGCTGTTGAAAGTCGTGATTTTTTCTTTTATTTTGACTAAATGACAGAAGTTATATAAGATAGCACTAGGAATAGTTTAGTACATTCAGAAACCAGCTAGGTAAATCCACACTTCTCAGCCTATTACAAAATATTTAGGTTTGTAAACACCCAAGGATGAGCTGAAGACTCTAAGGATTCTTTTGTCAGCTGTTTATCCATATATTCCACAATCAGCTTATAGAAATGAGTAAAGGAATTTCATATGCTTACATAAAATTGTTAGGTAATAGTATAAAGGTTGGGATCCTTTGGTCAATATGCTGCTAGTCACATTATGATATAATTGGGCAATCTACAGCAATGATTTAGCAAATCCCCTGCAACAGATGCAGGGGAGGACTTACAAACACATTGCTAATCTATACCTTTACCCTTTACTTACTTTACTTCTTTAAAGTTTACTTACTTTAAACTTTACTTACTTTAAAAAGTAATTTTTGCAGATTCCGCACAGAGGAAGTGATTGATGCACTGGTGTGGGAAGGAATATGTTTGCAACTGAAATAAATATTCATTATAAAACTGAATAAATACTCATTATAAAACATCATATTCATTATAAAACTGAAATATTCTTTTATAAAGAATAAATAAATGTGAATCTTCTGGTCTATTAGAACACCTGTGCAACTTGGGCATGTCATTTAAGGGTATTTGCTTCTTTTTCCATAACCGATATGCACATATCAATACGCACATATCCTCTAAACATTTTAAGGCTTGCTAAATCAGGTGTTCACATTAGCATTATAGAATTAATAACATTTCAAGTTTAGCAGAAAAAAATGCAGAAAATTCACTGAAAAGACAAAATGCAGTCACATCACTTTTTATTCGTATGCTGGGTATATAATAAAGTTCAACTGATGTTTAAGTTATAGTTCTTAATTTTTTTCTGTGGAAAAAAAGTACTTATACTTTATAACACATTCAAAAGGACTTATGAAAATAAAAACCCTCCTTTGCATACTCTAATAGCTGAAGGAAAAAACTCTATTGCATAAGTATATGCAAATATTTAATACTCTGTATAATACTTTACATAATAATTTAATAATTGGGCTGCAGGGATCGCCTTTTTTTTTTTAAATTGTCGTACTTCTCAGTAGGTGTCAGTGTATATTTTTGGATATATCATACATGCAAGCATTTGAGAAGGTCCTCTTGATTCGGAACAGATTTAGATGTGAATTAGTAGGTCAGCACTAAGCAAACTGACCTCCCTGTCCTAGAGTGCCATGCTTTAATGGAAGCATCATTTTCCGTTCTTGGATTTTATTTATTTATTTATTACTTTATTCATTTCATCAGAAACATAGCTACAAAGAACACATATGGAATCAGAACTTTCTAAAGCCATGTCATCTGGTCGAAATATTTAGGTATTTGTACTTCCTATATGCATAGGCACTATTATACTTGCCCACTTATGAATAACAGGAATAAATAACACAAGTGATCCAATTACTGAAACCAGAAGAAAAGTCCATAAGAACATTCGATCAAGCACCTGAGCGATGAACTTCCAGTCTTCAACAACCTAAAAACCAAAGAACATAGGAGTTGTTTGGTGTCTGTGAAAACAGGTGAGAATATAGAATCAAAGCCTTACATTTCTTATTCAGATACCTCACAGCACACATTCTTCAACCAGGGCAATTTAATAACCTCTTTTCATAAATCGTCTGTAATTACACTGCGAGCTAGTGTAACACTTGCCTTTGTGAGGGCTGGTTAACTATAGGCTAAATTAGTGGACAATAACTGACCATGCAGAGCACAGAATATCCTCAATTACACAAAGAGGAAATTAGTACATGTTTTATAGTGTACTAGAAGCCTTAGGATTCATAAAGTAAAATTTTCAGAGAGAAGCTAATTCAAAAGTTGCAGAAATAAATAAATAAAAATAAACATTAACTGCTGTGTCATAAACTCTAAAAACTGTGAAGATACTGCTTCATGAAATTATACACCAAAGAAAATACTCACCATTCTCTCTCAAAAAAAAAAAAAAAAAAAGAAAAAAAAACCCCTGTAGCTTAGAGGAAAATATATATTTAATAGCACACTATTCTATATGTGCTTTATAGAAAATGCAATGCAGGGGTATAAGATGCTGTTTTAAGACTGCATTCAGTTATTCAAAGTTAAGACCCATTCGGTTATTCAAAATCTCATCGAGATTGATCTCCTTGTGATGCTTAAGGCAGAGTAAAGGCTGGCAAAGCTGCATTTAATGAGCCAGTTTACTCCTTGGCTAGCATGGAAGAAGAGGCTACCAACAACCAGAAACTTTTCCAAATGATCCTTTCTGCATAGAGATAAATTAGAAAATGCCAAGCCCTTCCCATAAGGAAGGGATAGTAGCATTATGAGAACAGACAAAGAACTTCTATTTCCAAGCAGGCCTGAAAACATCAGCTGATCTATGAGGCTCCAATAGTTATTGTTTCCTTAAAAAAAGCAAGGGAAAATGCAAGGTGCAATCTCAGTATTGCACCACACCTGCACTTATTTCCAGTGGGAATAATTACATGGCTTACAGGAAAGTACAAGAACTGGAAATCCTCGCACTCATTTCATATGAAATTGCACACATCATTTGGTTCTCCAGTTTTTTGGTTTTAGTGTAACAACAAGCATCACATGATTAAGACAATTAAGACACCCACCTCCCGAACTTCATTCTCCTTCATGACATGCCTTGTAATGTATCGGATAGAATCTAGAGCTGCTTCCAACGTGTTCCTAGATGATTCTGACCCACTGATGTTGACTGTTTCCTCCTTCTGAGCAAAGTATCTATCAACATGACTTCTCATGCAAAGCAGCTTGGGGAGTCTGTGAAGAAATATCTTGCGGACCCAAGGTGCCATAGCATTGTGCGTAGATGAAGATCGATGATGAATATTGATAGCAAAGACTGTTATTACAATGGACAGTGTCACAAATATCATAGTAAACACCAAGTACTCTCCTATAAGCGGAATTACTTTGGAAGATGATGGAATAATCTCTTCAATAACAAGAAGAAAAACAGTCAAAGACACCAATACTGACGTGCAAAGGGAAATTTTTTCACCCTCATTTGAAGGAAGATAGAAGACAAGAACAGTTAAAAATGAGAGCCCTATACAGGGAATAATGAGAAACAATGTGTAAAAAAGTGGCAAACGTCTAATTATAAAGGAATATGTAATAAATGGATACCAGCAGCATCCATCAGTTCTATTTCCTTTGCTTCCAGTCGCAGTCACTATTTCCCATTCTCCATTATCAAAGAAATCTCTTTTGTCAACGTCATAATCCTCTAGAATTATATCAACCTGCGAGCCATCGTAAGTCCAGGAACCAAATTTCATGGAGCAGTTCTGAAGGTCAAAGGGGAAGAAGGTTACATCAATAGTACAGGAACTTTTGTAGTTCGCCGGTGGAGTCCAAGCAATGGTGCCATCATATTTTACCACAGTTTTTGTAGATGTTCCCTCAAAACGTCCATCTGCACTGAAAGAAAAGATATATGTATGCGATTACAATGTGTTATTTTATACATATATACATATATAAAAATACATATTCATAGGAAAATAACTATTTCAGGTTTCATCAAGTATTTTGAAAACTGTCATGCTTATCCTGTTTCCCTTCACAGAGAAATTTTTGTATTTGTGTTCATAGCCCATTTTATTTTTAATCTGAATCTCACACAATCTTCCACAGCTTTGGAAGAGTGAAGCACATTTCAAGCTTCTGTGGTCCTAAAGACTCAAACAAGAGACAGGAAAAACACATAGCAACAGAATTCTCACCTTTGACAGTATAACCACCCCTGTTCTTTCTATTGGAAATACACAAGACATAA